ACCTTCACTCCGTCGGAAAGATCAGGTTTAAAAGGACCTGGGTTAGCTTAGAATTTTCAATTGGCGCCACGTTGCGAAAAGAAGCAGTAAGCTGTGTCTACGCCGGTAAAAAAGAAGAAGAAGAGATCTATTGCTTTTGATCCTTGCGACCTAGCCTGACGTATTTATCGATTTTGAATTTACCTTGCAACCTAACCTAAAGTAATTTTATAAAACCCTGGAAGAACGAATACGTGTCTAAGTGAGATYTATCGATTTTGGATCAACCTTGCGACGTAACCTAAAGTAACCCAACTGAAAATACCCTGTTCAGTGTATGAAAATCCGAATTTCATAAATATTCAAACTTATTTGTAGTACCGAAGGTTAAAGAAACTACCCTACTTGCATATAAAAATAATATATTTAATTGCAATTTTTTTTCGTATTCTGAACACACTTTCTACACCCAACAGTTACATGAAGAATAACATTTTAATGTTTGTAATACGAATTTGACGATTACATGAGCAACCAATTGCACTTACAGGCATTATTATAGAGTAGTAGTTCGCCCAAGGCTTGGTAGTTACATATGTGTTATCACTGTAATTATGCTTGCTGCAGCGCCGACCGCCCCACCCCAAAGCGGTTTTAACAATCAACTCATTGCAACAACCATAGCTGGATAAGTAGTTAGTCGTATTTTGGGGCGAAACGGCTGCCCGCATTGGCGAAGTGCGGTTTCTCGCAAAGTAACTGTAATTAGCGCCCGCAAGCATTCAAAAACTCAAGAAAAAACCAAAGCTCGAACGCAAATAAGTCGGCGCATGCAAGCAAAGCGCAGCGAAGCGAACGATAAATAGCAAATGAGGGAGCGCTTTAAGCATTAGCAAGGCGCATGCGTGCCGTTGCCATTGATTTGCAGCCATGTTAGACATGCAGTCAGCGTGGTGGGCAGCTAAGTACGCGTGTGTGTACATGTATGTGCGCACATACATAAGCTCATAAGTGCTTATACGCATATTGAATGCCATATGATTTATTACGTAGCTATATAATTGGAGGT